GCCGGGTTTCAAATGGGGGTCTGAACTATACGGGTGCGGGCGGTCCTGGGTTTGAAATGGGGATAATTGCTCTTAAAGCCTTTTTTTTTTTATTTTCTTAAGTCCAAATTAATGTTCTTTCTTGTTTCTGCATCTTTTTTATTATTTTTTTTCTTCTACTTGCTCTGATTGTGTTTTATTTTCCTATATTTTAATCATGTAAAGCACTTTGTATTAAAGCTCTTTGTAAAGCTCTTTGTACTGAATTGTGCTATACAAATAAATTTGCCTTGCCTTGCCTTAACTGGTCGGGTCTCGGTTCTGAACTCTATGGATGTGGGAGGATACGGTTTTGAAAAATCAGACCTGAGCAGGACTTTGCACTGAACCATTCTGAACATAATTTATGAATATAATAGGACAATGTCAATACTAACAAAGACTATCCTGTGTGTTATCTAACTTTATTTTAAAGCTAGAACGTAGTGGTGAGACAAAGGTTGCAGAATGAAATTACTGTGCTGTGAGCAAGCCAAAACCTCTGACCTCATGTTACTTTAACACATTTCACCGGTTTCTAGTAAAACCTTTATTTTCCTCTTTATCTGATGCTAATTAAGGTACCCCAGCTTGGAGAAGAGGTAGAATAGATGACATTGTTAACTTCTGGCTACCTCATTTTAGTCATGTGTGCGCAGAGGTGGCCATTTTGTGAATTATGACCCATTGTTCTGCCCAAGCATTGTTAGCTTTGGGCTACCTCATTTTGGTCACGTGCACATGTAGACGGCCATTTGGTGAGTTTTGTCCTAGCTGAGACCCAACTTGTCGCAATCTGGTCTAACTCATTCATGTGCTGCTGCGTTTTTAATGCATTTATCATTATCATTGTCATTATTCTCTGTAAAACCCAATAAAACTAAACTAATTTGATTGCATTTAAGATCTCTTCATCAACAGTTATTCACGTTTATCTCTGCTATTTTAAAAGGATCCAACCCAATGCAGTAATACACCCAGCCTTATACTTGGACAGACTCTTAGAGAACCCCTCTCGCCTTTTTTTTTTAGGGATTACTAGGAAATAAAGATACCAGTATTTAAACCTGTCGTAGTTTGTGGTAATTTGTAAAATGAAAGATTTTTCACTAAGAGCCAAGATCCACCCTCCACTTGAAGAGACAGAGACAATTCCTTTTGGTTGGTGGTTAATAACTCTGCAGATAGCCATAGTCTAAATTACTAAATTGGTGGAGGAAAACTGCATTTCAACAGCTGGTCAAGAAGTCCAACCTAGGGCAGAAAACTAAAAAGCAGTGAGTAAGCAGATTTCAGTTATAATCATTGAACTTAAAATTGGTTTTACCCTTGATTTGAATTACTATTAATTAACTACAACTTCCAGTTCTAGTGACTTAATATATTCACATTCTGCAGGTAAAATTTCACAACAAAGTATTTAAACATACTGTATACATTTCAAAGATTTCATAGTATCACAAGCTATCATCATATGTTACCACATGACACCACTTGAATGATGTGTAAAACAAACATAATTTAAAGAATGACCAACTTGGATCAATGTCTGTTGCAAAGTCATTCTTTAAGTTAATACTTTTTTTTTTCTCATTTTGGGTAACTTCTTTCAACTTTGCATGAAACAATAAAACTGATTAAAAATAATTAAGGTCTGTTGTATCACTGATTTGTATTTTTATTGTCTGCACCATATAATCCTTGTTGATAAGGACAATGGTAAATTGATTATTTGAAAGTTTTACATGTTGTTTTCTTTACATACATGTATACTATCTAAGAATAAATGCCATTGACAAAAGACACAAAGCTTGAGCAAAACAAGTTAAAACACTGTCTTTTGGCTCCTTGTAAAAGAAAGATGTTTGAGGGGCATTCCATCATCTCAACACGTCAGCATGCCGTTTCATAAATAAAATGTGCAGCCCTGCAAGATAAAAGAAGAACATAAATATTATTGTGCATAGATTACTCCATCTATGCATGAAAGCGTTCCCACATTGTATCTTCAAAAGAGCTGACTCTCTGTTATCGTACATATCTTGACTGTAGGGGAGACCAAAATCTGTTGGATTCGCAGAAACAGACAGCAGACACTCTGTCTTCTTTAAGAGCAGGCAACATTGCATTATATTTTGTATGTCATTTAATGAAATTTCACATTGTTTATTAAAATAAAGGTAAAATAGGGACATCCCATTTTAGTTATTTTGCTCAGCTGTTAAAATCAATTTATCTTATTTAAAGACTAGAAAGAAGTGAATCAGTGATGACTTCTGAAGCAACTGGATATGCACTACAACCATCTAACCTGATTTATGCACATATGTCATTTATATGTGGTGCAACCCAAATTCTTCCTCTCTTCATCTTCCTCTCAAATTCTTCCAATAGCCTTAGTCAGCTGTCAGTCAGTGATTCCCTCACAATATCTGCAGCCATGGCAGATCCAAGTCCTCAAGCAAAGTTTGGATTAAGATGAGAAAACAAGGAGGTCTGCTTTCCATAAAAGTACTAGAGTACCCTATGAGACTGTTTCACTTCATGATCATAAATTGTCTGGCTGGAACAGAGGGTTCTGTCATATCACCACATAACAAAGAAATTCCAAAATCAAAAGACAAACTGGCGTTCCTTGTGACAGCTTCACATCAAAGGGGAAAAGCTTTCAGAATTCCCTTTCTGTTCAGTTTCTTGTAGGGTTTGAAACCAGAATGGAAAGCTGCAAAGAGCCAAAGGTCAACTCCAGTTGGGTTGATTCCCCCCCAAAAGAACATACTGTTTTATCTCTGTGATTAGAATTGGTAAAATGTGTCATCATGTTTTATGGCCATTACGCATACAACTCCTGAAAGTAGTCTTGAACAAACCATGATTATGGAGCTCAATCGGTCTCAATTTTCACAAATAAGCATATGTGATTCATATATGCACAGGACAAGCTCCACACACACAGCACGATTCACGCAAGCATAAAAGATTCACACATGCAATGTTTGTTTTGAAACCTAATGTGTGTAACGAACCTAGTGAATGATTTTTTTTGTTTGTTTTATGCACAAACTACAACAAAAACCTATCTAAATCAAGAAATAAAACAGCGTGCTTGATGTAAGTATGTTTAATAATTGTTTTATTGGACCAGAAGTAGCTTATGGTGGCTGAATCTGTGTGCTGTGCATTGGTGAATCTTGGTAAGCTTGCCGTGAATCAGGCTGTGTTGTGGGAGCATTACTGGTGTGTTTGTGGGATTTTTTTTATATGGCTTGCTGTGAATTGCGTTATGTGTTTGGGGTGGACTGTCCTGTGCATGAATGAATCCACAATAGTAATTTTGAACACTGAGACTGATTTATGCTCCCTACATGATCTATGTTACCATTGTTTTCCAAAATCTGTTTTAAAGTCATTTTAAAAACCACAATTTTCTGGTAAACGAAAAAAGACCTCCCTCTGAAAGGCAACTTAAATAAGGAGACGGGTTCATCACAAACATGGATGTATGGATGTAAGTCTGTAACTTCTGCAAGCCCACTAGAAAAGTAGTCCACTCTTAAAATGTAGATCGATCGCCAGTCGGAACGCGCAATTTTGAGACTTTCTCTTCATAAGAGAACATTTTTGTTAAATATGGTGAAATATGGTTCAGCAGATCTAGGATAGCCACTTGAGTGAGAAAGAAGGAAAACAGAGAAGACAATTGCCAGCACATACAAAGAGGAGAAAGGGTGAAGGTTTTACAATAAAGGCCGATAGCACCCTGGTGGACGGTACGCACTCGCAAAATCTTCCAATATGTACGACCACATCCGAAATCATGAAACTCAGTCGGCAGAAAAACATACACAGGTTTACCACCGCGCCGGTACGCCCCAGCACCCTCATCAACCAGCAGAATGAAACCACCTCATCGTAGCCCCCCTCCCCCACTCCCGTGCAAACCCGATCAATCCGACCCGCTCGACATAACCGCTAACACCAGTTGGCAGCCCTAGCCACTCCGAGCTACCAGGAGCCCAGCAATAAAACACACCATTCTTCCCCGCCCACAGCCTACATTTAAAAATAAACCACATACATAGCCCCCCACCCATGACCCCCTTGAATACCTGACGACCAACTACACATGGCTGACAAACCCTCCACCAGCTCATAAACACAATTGACCCGGCCCCATCACCCAACAAACTACCAATGAGCCCACCACCCAACCTACCACAACCTCAGATGTTCCCCGACCGAACACCCATTGGTGAACGCCCTAGAGGTGTACTCTCCCTCCCACCTAATATACTTTGAAAGCTACATCACTGGGATACAGAGAAACCCTCACGAGTAAACATGGACTAAAGATGCAGAGACAAGTATAACTTTTTCTATCACTGCATAGCCTGTGGCTGTAAATATTTTGGTGAAACTCTTGTTTTTCTGGGAAATGCAAGTGTTGCTGCCACTGGGCAATGCAGTGACAATTCCACTCAATTTTAGGGTTATGAAATACAGTTCTTACGGTTAAAGTGCCTTTAGCTGGTCATTTCCTGCTGTAGAGATAGATATCCAGTCTGGGTTAACTACACAGAGCTTTTAAAGCACACCAGTGGATGCAGGATTTCTATGTCTTCAAGACACTTTTGACGCTTTCCGCCTTACTGGATAATTACCATACAAATATTCTTCGCTCTACCTTTGTCTTATGTGGACATGGTTAATTCAATTCAATTCAGTTTATTTATATAGCGCCAATTCACATCACAAGTCATCTCAAGGCACTTTACAGTTCAACCAGATCATACAGTCAAATTGATTCAAAGTTTTCTATCTAAGGAAAACCAGTTGATTGCATCGACTCATTTACTCAAATACAATCCCTCACACTAAGCATGCTTGTAGCGACAGTGGAGAGGTTACTGTGCATTGACGGCGCAGTTCCTTTTGTAACCCATGGTTATTTTGTCATCAGTGTACATGTATGTTTTTTCAAATCGTAAGAAAAGGGGGTAATGAAGTTAAGTACTAAGATTTCCCACGCACTGTGAATGCACCGCACCTGCACAGTTGCGCTGCTCACAGCTCCTCCCTGCTCAGACCAAACGCACTTTCTTCCATGGCATCTATCTGCATAGAGCAAGGTAATATTTTAAAACATTCGCCCTGGGTTAATTGCGTGAAAGGCCTTGTTAAATGTCATATTGATGATTATATTTGTATTTTAGAGGCACCAGATGTTGTAGGAGTTCAGTCCTGAAATCCGTTGAGCTGAGGAGTTTTTTTTGTTGTTGTTGAAGAATCCTGGTGAGTCTTGTGAAACAAGTGTTTTTTGCTATGTAAAACCAGTCAGGTTATGAGCTTTTGTTAGAAATATGACTACAATTGCTGTTCATGGTTTATTAGGTGCATTGGCATGGTAAGAAGTAAGCTAACTCACCACATGTGCTCTTCTAAAAAAAAACATGTACTTTTGTGTGAGGTTTAAGCTAGCTGCACCATGTGTGGTGCTGCTGTAGGTCATAATGTAACTTACCCTTTTGCAGGTCTCCTAGATTACTTTGAAAGATAAGAATACTTATTACAGGCCTTAATAGCTGCATATACAGTAAAAGACAAGTTGGAACTGATAATTTTATTTTATTTTCTGTATTTATTTTGTTTTGTTTTCTGTACAATGTGATTAAAACAATTTAATTTAGGATGATTACATGATTGTTTTCCAGTTGAAGTAATTGGTTTGCACAATTGTGTGCAGGCTGGTTTTATATATACATATAGTCCCTGCACCTGCTGCCACAACCTGAGGGGTTCCATCCACGGACCGAACTAGGAACCACTGGAGATGCTGCTGCAGGATGCATCCATTGTGAAGGCCACCTGTTTCTCTGGAGGGTGGTAGGGAAGAAACAGATTCCCAATCTGCTCTGAGGATTTCTATTTTTGTTTTTTTGAGATCTCAAATCATTTATTTTTATTTTTTTTTGTTACTTTTGGGTCAGATCTGATACCACAAACCAAACTGATGCATCAGGAATATTAAAACTTGCATTAAATACCTACCAAAGAGTGGAAGACGGTGTACTCAGCTGAAATGGACAGTATTTTTTTTTAGTGCACTTGTGGACTCTGATAGAGGATGGTATTGTTGAATTGAATGAATGTGGAAGTGAACAAACTGTGTTGTGCCAATGTTCTAGTTCAGCATTTTGAAATACAGGTTTTCAGTTATTCAATTCTAATGGTTGTCAGTGTCTTATTTTGGTTGGAATAATCTTTCACTTAGTGATTTACCTCTGCCAATCTCCTTACGAACCTAATTGAACCCAAAGTGAGTAGATTGGAGACATTTTTTTTTTTTTTTTTGAAAATAACACTTGATACTTTTGAAATTTTATTTATTTTGACTACTCAGTTAAAAAGGGTGACACATAGTGGCGAGCCAGCCAGGAGATTGGTATTGTGGTTTTATTTCCAACCATTACGATACACTGTTTTGACACCATTTGTATAAATTTGAAATGGATCTTTGTGAACGTTTTGCAGCTGACAGCCAGAAAACCCTGTATGTTACAGGTGTTACAGCAAGCCATAGTGATAATGACATTTCTGATGTTTTTGGGGCAAATGGTAAAATCTCTAAAATTGTCAGGGTCCCCAATGAGCCACATCAGCCCGAAGGCAGAACACTCATAATGTATGAATCTGAACAAGCTATCTTAAAGATAGACCCTTCAACCTTAGGAGAAATAGTCTTGACTGTAGACCCACCTATAAAATGGTATTCAAAAACCATTAGAGACATTACCCAAGAAGAGATAGGCAAAGAAATGGCGCGCCGATACCTGAGAGAACTGGAGTTCATGGGGGATAGTGGGAAAGCAGGCTTCTTTAGCTTCCTTCAAAGTGAGTTGCACGCTAGCCTTACTCCTCAGACTGAAATACATCCACCCACGAACCAGACTGTTAATACAACTACGGACGATGTTCAAAATACTAAGTCAACAGAAGCTGTAGAGCCCACAAGTGTATTTAGCCCACATAGTGACACTTCTGTAGGCTCTGTACATGTAGATGAGAACCTGTACAATCCCCCACATATTCAGAAGGTAGTGGTTGAGCATATTATTCGTAATGAGCCAACTCATGCACCTCTTGCACATGCAAAGATACGCACATTTTCAGGTCGACTCCCGAGACCCAATGGTGAAGTCGATTACGAAACATGGCGCACCCAAGTTGATCTGCTGCTCAGTGACTCCTCTTTAACTGATTCACTCAAGGTTAGGAAGATACTTGAAAGCTTATTAAGCCCTGCATCTGAAGTTGTTAAATCTCTCGGGGTAACCGCATCACCAAGCGCCTTAGTTACTCAACTTGATTCAGCTTTTGGAGTTGTAGAAGACGGTGAGGAGCTTTTCACTACCTTCCTTGGTTCAAATCAAAATAGTGGGGAAAAACCATCTGCTTTTTTGAACCGTCTTCACAGCCTTCTTACTAAAGTCATTTCTAGAGTGGGAGCCTCTGCTGTAAATTTTAATGAACTACTCCTCAAGCAATTCATACGAGGTTGCTGGGACCAAAGCTTGATAATAAGTCTCCAGCTTGAGGCAAGGAAGGATCTTCCACCCCCATTTCCAGAGCTTCTCCTTCAGTTGAGGACAGAAGAAGATCGACGCTCTGCCAAGTTAGACCGTATGAAAAAACATTTAGGTGCTACAAAAGCTGCTGCCCATGCTCACTCAGTCCTCAGTATGCCCAGTTTTGATCAAACACCACTCGCAACCCCCATCCCAACTGACAGTGAAACTGTAAAACTTGAGCAAAAGGTCACTGAACTCACAAAGCAAGTAGAAAGGTTAACTCAAAGAGCACTGCCTCAGACACTGAACCCCAACTGAGTACCAAACCGAAACATTTGAGACCAAGATCCACTGAAACTTCCAAATTAGAAACACAGATTGCTGAGTTAACCAAACAGGTCCAAATGCTCGTGCAAAACCAAAGACATTCAACCAAAACCGATAAGTGTGACCCCAAAGAATCCTTAGCTACTAACACCAAGCCCCCGCGGGTAGCTACTAAAATCCCTGGCACTCCCCGGGCATGGTTTTGTTTCAAATGTGGGGAAGATAATCACATTGCAGCCAACTGCACTAATGATGCAAATCCTACCTTGGTTCGTGAAAAGAATGTTGAGCTAAAAAAGAAACAAGCTGACTATGCTGCACGGCAGGCCACAACTCCCTTTGCTTTAAACTAGGGGCAGCTCCTGTTGTGGGACACCCAGGAGCTGAATACTCAGATTGTTTTAGTCCCGAGACACAAATGAAAATCCCAGACCCGATGCATCCACTAGACAGCTTTAATCCTGACTCCATTTTGCCTCGTGGTCTTGTAGGTCCACGGTGTGCAGCTTCTGTAGTTATTGGTGGCATGCCATGTGAGTCTATAATGGACTCAGGCTCTCAAGTTACAACCATCTCAGAGTCCTTTCACAAAAGGCATCTTTCCCATCTCCCCATCCAACCAATACACGCTCTTCTTGAGATTGAGGGAGCAGGTGGGCAGAATGTCCCATACTTGGGCTATGTTCAAACCCACATCACTTTTCCTGAGAACATTGCAGGCAAAGAACAACACTTAGTTGTTTTAGCCCTTGTCGTTCCTGAGTGCCACTTCAACAGTAAAATTCCACTGTTGATAGGGACAAACGTGCTTCTGCGACTCTATGGGCAGTTGTTGGAACAAGATGGCCCCAAGTTCATTCATAAATTACACTCTAAGCAGTTTGCAATGATTCTCCAACATGTCGCCCAGGTACAAAGAAGTGATGTTCAATCCTGTCCTGTAATGTTACAAAGCAAAAAGCCAGTGCTGATTCACGCAAACCAGAAACTGTGCCTGATGGGCAATGTGAGATTAAGAAAGAACAACCAGAACACAGGTTTTGTCCTTGAACCACATGAGCAATACAAGTTACCAGGTGGATTACTTGTAGAGTCTTCTTTAGTGGACATTCCCTTTAATGGTAGAAATAGAGTGCCTGTCATTGTTCACAATGTGAATGAACACAGTGTTACGCTGCAGCCAAATAGCATTGTTGCTCAAGCTTGTGCAGCACAACATGTTTCGCCTTTAGGACCTAGTCAAACCACAAACTCTTTAAGTCAAAATGATCCTGTCATTGACAAACTCTCGTCCAGTCTTAATGAGTCCCCCATCTCAGAGCAATGGAAAGAGCGCATTTAAAAAAAATTGCAAACCATTCCTGAAGTTTTCGCTCTTGATGATATGTCATATGGTTACACTACAGCTGTCAAACACCAAATCAGATTACATGATGAAACACCTTTTAAAGAACGGCCAAGGCCCATTCATCCGAGTGACAGAGAAGCTGTAAAACAGCATCTAAGAGAACTACTTGATGCAAATATCATCCGAGAGTCTCAAAGCCCCTATGCATCGCCAATTGTATTGGTGAGGAAAAAAAATGGTTCGATCAGGCTATGCATAGATTACCGTAAGTTAAATCTAAGGACTATACGCGATGCATACGCCCTTCCAAATATAGAAGAAACATTTACAGCACTTAGCGGAGCTAAATGGTTTTCAGTCATGGACCTTAAGTCTGGGTACTATCAGGTTGAGGTAGCTGAGAATGACAAACCTAAGACAGCCTTTGTGTGTCCCCTGGGCTTTTATGAATTTAATAGGATGCCGCAGGGGGTCACAAATGCTCCAAGCACTTTTCAGCGCTTAATGGAGAAGTGTGTAGGTGACCTACATCTCAACGAAGTGCTTGTTTTCTTAGACGATCTAATAGTGTTCTCGGACACGTTAGAAGAACTTGAAAACCGCCTAATGAAAGTGCTTACCCGCCTGAGAGATTATGGGCTTAAATTGTCCCCAGAAAAATGTCATATTTTCAAAAGCTCAGTGAAGTATCTGGGTCATATCGTGGATGCACACGGAGTCCATACCGATCCTGAAAAGATCTCTGCTCTGAAAAGTTGGCCTCGGCCATCCACTTTCAAAGAGCTCAAATGTTTCTTAGGCTTCGCTGGATACTATCGCCGTTTTGTTGAGGGTTATTCCAAGATAGCTAAACCACTGAACCATCTCACTGCAGGTTACCGCCCACCCAAGAAAAAGGGAAAAATATACAAACGAGAACCCCCCAGACTGGCTCACAGTCCCAATCAGCCTCTTGCAGAGAAATGGACTGAGGAGTGTGAGACAGCATTCCAAATGATAATCGAAAAGCTGACATCTGCACCCATCCTTGCATTTGCAAACCCGCAACTTCCTTATGTATTGCATACTGATGCTTGTCACGATGGGTTGGGGGCTGCGCTTTATCAGGTGCAGGAAGGGAAGCTGAGAGTGATTGCGTATGCCAGTCGGGGCCTTTCTAGGAGTGAACAAAACTATCCCACACATAAACTTGAGTTCTTAGCTCTCAAGTGGGCTGTGTGCGAGAAGTTTAGCGATTATCTTTACGGTTCAAGTTTCACTGTACTGACCGACAATAATCCGCTAACTTACATCTTAACAACTGCCAAGTTGGATGCTGCAGGACACAGATGGCTGGCTGCTTTGTCTACTTATCACTTTAACATCAAGTATAGGGCAGGCAGAGCCAATGGAGATGCCGATGGGTTGTCCCGAAGACCCCAAGACCCTCCACATGATGATGAGGCTTTTGTCAAAGAGAACGCTCGCATAAATGACATGAAAAAGCGTCTTGGTAGCGTAGAAAAGGAACTAGACCATGAAACATTTTCTGCCCTGTGTCAGCGTCATTCAGTATTATGTTCTTCAGAGCCTCTTATATGTGAGTCTCTTGCCATGGACCCAACATCAGTCAGTGAAGCATATGGAGAAGAAATATTACCCTCTATGACAGACACTGATTGGTGCTCTGCACAAAAGAGTGATCCATCTATAGCTCGTGTGATGGTCCTGTTGGAAAAAGGGGTGAGACCAAGTCCAAAAGAAACAAACCTTGAACCCCCTGATGTTAAACTCTTGCTAAGGCAATGGAGCAAACTCGAGCTCCTTAATGGTGTGCTGTACAGGAAGTTCAATGACAATGATTCCCCTGTGTACCAGTTAGTATTGCCACAACTTTACCGGGACAGAGCAATGCAAGGTGTGCACGACGAGGTTGGTCACCTTGGGTTTGAGCGTGCCCTACATCTTGCTCGGGCAAGGTTTTACTGGCCACGAATGGCTCAGTCCATTGAGGATAAGTGCAAAAAATGTTCTCGCTGCTTAATGAGGAAGGCCCTTCCCCAGAGAGCCGCTCCACTAGAAAATATTCTTGCAACTTATCCTCTAGAATTAGTGTGCATAGATTACTTGTCTATTGAACCTGACAGTCGAGACACTAGAAATGTGTTAGTGGCTACTGACCATTTTACTAAATTTGCTGTTGCAGTGCCGACAAAAGACCAAAAGGCAAAGACGATAGCGAAAGCTTTGTGGGACCACCTTATCATCCCTTATGGGATCCCTAGCCGGCTGCTTAGTGACCAAGGCAGGGATTTTGAATCTAAGCTCCTAAAAGAACTTTGCACATTGATTGGGACGAGTAAAATCCGCACTACTCCTTACCATCCCCGGGGAAATCCGGTGGAACGGTACAACCGGACACTTCTGGACATGTTAGGAACGCTGGAAGACAAAGACAAGCAACACTGGAGAGATTTTGTTAGGCCATTAACACACGCCTACAACTGTACCAAAAATGATACGACGGGGTATTCCCCGTATGAACTTATGTTTGGCAGGCAGCCAAGGTTGCCAATCGACCTCATCTTTGGAACTCAACCTGGCAAACCTGGTCCAAAGTCATACTCCAACTATGTCAAAACTCTTCGCCAAAATCTTTCAGAGAGTTACGCCCTTGCCATTGAACATTCTAAGAAAATGGGTTACAAAAACAAGATGCGGTTTGACAAAAAGATCAGAGCTGCTGAACTGTTTTCAGGTGATAAAGTTTTAGTACGAAACGTCAACATAAGAGGGAAACACAAACTAGCTAACCGGTGGGAGCAAAACATCTATATTGTTGTCAAGCGAATCAAAGACAGTCCTGTGTATGTAGTCAAACCAGGAAATGGAGATGGCCCTACCCGTACATTGCATAGAGATTTGCTTCTCCCTTGCGGGTTCTTACCTGTTGAAGACCATGCAGGAACTGACATTCAAAATGGCAATCAGAGGAAAATGAGAACCAGGAGTAAAGTGAACAATGCAGAAACAAGTGACCATATTGGAGAGTACAGTGAGGATGAAATAAGTGATGAGGAGGACTTAGGTTTCACTACATGGGAGCCAGAAGTCATTACTAGAGGCCCTTATGTTCAAACTGAACTGAATCCTCCAAATGCACAGTCACTCGCAGAAAGTCATCCCCTGGTATCATCTGCTGATAATGGGATTCCACAAAACTCCTTACTGAATACAGATACCTCTATTCCACTTGAAGCACCGAGTCCATGCAGTACTGATTCTGGCCATTTAGACGTTGGGTCTTCAGACCATGTTGTTATTGACATTCCTGAAACTGACTTTGAACCTACCTTGACTGACACAGACCTCACTCCAAAGAAATGTGTAGTTAGTACTGACAATGCTGTTAGTACTGAAACTAGTGATAGAGAGCCAGTAAATTTGAGGCGTTCAAATAGAGAGCGACGTCCACCTCAGAAGTTGACTTATGATGAGTTAGGAGAGCCACTGACTTTGGCCATTAGCTCATTTTTTCAAACATTAGGAGTTGCATTCTCCAAAGCAGTCTTGTCACCTCAACAAGGTTCCAGTTGGTTCAATGAGCATGAAGGGACTCATGCGGTCTAGAGGGGGAGAATGTAACCCATGGTTATTTTGTCAT